TAATTAATTAATTATTGGTGTATTTATTTATTTAATTTTGGCACTCTTAGCCCTCCATAGATAGTCAGATAGGAGATCTGACGAAAGATTGCATATACTGTAAACACCTTTTCTACACTCTCTGCTAGCTAGCAGAATCAAATAAAGCTTGGCTGAGGAAATGCCAGCATTTATATGATTCCTTGCTACCAGAGTATAAAGACTCCCAGGTGGCTGCAAACTAAATTTAGTCTTTATATTATTTTCAATTGTCATATGAATTCCAGTTTAGTTTATGTTAGTTTTATTAGTTTATAATTTAAAGATGCATATCTAGTGGGGTGGCACGATGGCACGGTAGCAGAGTGGTTAGCAGTGTTGCCTCATACCTCAGGGTAGGGTTGGAATCACCAGTGACCTCCCAATATGATATTATCACAATACCTAGGTGCCGATTCGATATGTATTGCGATTATGTAAGGATTCTATGATTGTCCTGATTCGATATTATGATTTTTTTCTTTTTTAGAATTTTAAAACCTTGAACATGTAAAAAAAAAAAAAAAAGTTGAGTCATAATGGTAAACTTTTATTCAATAGCTACACAGCTGAATTGAACATGAGTAAACGTAGCATACTCCAAATAATTTTTCCTCCTCAAAAAACCAAAGGCAGCATTGAAACAATGCAAAACAACTTCAAATACAACAGTATAAATTTTAGCTTAAAATTAAAAATTAACAAAAACCTACATTTCCTGCTGTTGTGGCATAAACTACACCAAGCTTTTATGCTTCTCCGCTGCCTTGTCTTTATCAGGATGCAGTATGTGCCCATATTTTCATCGTATTACGACAATATTTAACATTTCTCATGTCAAACTCCTCTTTACCTTTTAAGTTTTGAAAGCCAAAGTTCCTCCATAGATTGGATTTAAACTGGAGGAGCAGCACGAATCTCTGCTATGTCGTTATTGCTAAACAAATTTAGAAAATATTTGGCTCCTACTGCATGGGATGCTATACTGCCTGTCAATGTAGGAATAGTTTAGAGTGTGCCACCTGTAGGATCATAAAGGAACTGCAATGTTTCTCCACCTTGAATCCGAACATATAATATGGGGTTAGTGTGGCGATACATTAAAATACTGCACAAAAGAATCGCGATATATAACTGAATCGATTTTTCCCCCCCCATCCCTGTCTCTGGGATCAGGGTTCGAGTCTCCACCATGGCTCCCTGTGTGTGGTGTTCACATGTTCTTCCTATCCCAGGGTCTTCTGGTCCCCCCCACCCATTGCAGTTCAAAAACATGGTGAGGTTAATTGGAGTTACCAAATTGTGCCCTGCAATGCGTTGGCACCCCACCCTGGGTTGTGCCCTGCCTTGCACCCATAGCCTCCAGGACAGGCTCTGACCTTGACATGACCCTGAATAGGACTAGTGGTTGCAGAAAATTGATGAATGGAAATGTATATTTATTTAGTTTTTTATATGATTTAGTTTCAGTTTAAGTTTTGGTAATTTTTTTACCAGGGATAGATGGAAAGTTGCTAGCTGGACTTGCTAGCTACTATGAAATTTCTCAGTGTAGTGCCATTGGTTATTTCTACGATTCAACTACATTGCATGAAAGTGGCCCAAAGAAACAATTTATTACTTTAGTGAAATAGTATTTAAAAATAGTACTGGAAAGTTTATGACATTTGTTATTTTATTTCAGTTAGTTCCGAAAGCAATATAGTTTCCATTTAGTTTGTTTTATTCTTTTATTTTATTATCGTTTTTGTTAGCCATAATAACCCTGCTTTGTGTACTAGAAGTACATATAGTTAGTAGGGCCGAAAGATTTGGGGAAAATATCTAATTGCGATTTTTATGACAGACATTGCGATTACGATTTGATTTGCGATATAATTTTTTACGTCAAGCTTCAGTTCAATATTCAGTGTGTAGTAAATTTAAAACATATGATGCAGCTGTTACATATAGGCAAGCAGGCGAGCGGGGAAGCAGGCGAGTAGCCAGTAATACGCACAAACGGGGTTTATTAAGGGATCCGGGCAGACATCGAACATGACAATACACGAAACGTCAATGACAGATCTGACGGGACTGGACTCGGACGCGGACTAAGGCTGGAATTAACTAGACACAGGTGGGCACAATCAGGAGTTGACATGAGGTAATGAGGGGGCGTGGCTCACACGAGGATCGTTCGGAACTGATCGTGACAGAACCCCCCCCCAAAGGCGCGCACACCGGGCACGCCCGAGGGGAGGAGGCGACGGACGAGACGAGGGGCAGGAGCTGAAAAACAAAAGCAGAACATCAACGGGGGACCGGGAACAAGACAGAGACACAGAACAGGCATAGAGGCAAAAGCCACGACAAAACCTGACACAGGACAGGAAACGCAGACGGAGAAGGGAGACACTGAGGGAACACCCACAGGCGACACGAAGGGGGCAGGAGTGAATGGAGGAGGAACAGAGGGACGAGGAGCAGACACAGGCGGGACGAAGGGAGGAGGACAGGAATGGACGGGGGAAAAAAAAAATGGAGCCTGAAGGAGCCCAGGCGGGCGATGGGCGGCGGCTGGAGGGGCCGCAGGCGAGAGGGAGAAGGGAGCAGGAGGGAACCACACAGGGGCCGAGGGAACGGGACGAGGGAGAGACGGAGGGGACACAGAGGGAGCAGGAGGGAACACCGGCGGAGGCAGGCAGGAGGGGGAAGCCGGAGCAGGCGGAGGGGAAGCCGTAGCCGGCAAAGGCGCCATCCGACGCCCCGCTGAAGTAGGGGGGCCCGGAGGCGGCCGACACGGAGCCGGAGGAGAGGCCGAGGACCGGCACCGAGGAATTGGGGGAGGGCCCGGAGGCAACCACCAAGCCGACGACGCAGGCCCCGCAGGCAGCCACCGAGCCACAGTCAGGGGCCGAACGGGCGAGCCAGGGGGCAGGGCGGGCGGGACCCGGGCCCGACGCCTGTGTCCCCGTCCCTTATGGGACACTGACATGCGGGGTCCCGAGGGGTGTTGATCCCGGCAGGGCCAGGGAGCGGGAGTCCATAGGAAGGTCCCCGAGGGGTCCTATTCAAGCTCCTCGTCCTCACTGGAGAAAGGAGCTGGCTCCTGGTTGTCCGGGACCTCCTCGGGTACTGGGTCTAGTGCTGGGGGGTCAGGAGTTCTTTCTCCTTGGGAGGTGGCCGGCAAGGACGTGGGTGGGGTGGCTGCCTGTGGTGCAGCCTCAACCACAGATGAGCAGGGCGGGACAGACGAGCAGGGCGGGACGGGCGTGACAGGCAGGGCCGCGGGCAGAGTGGCGGCCTTGACAGGCAGGGCCGCGGGCAGAGCGGCGGGCACATCGGGCGTGCGGCCAGCAGGGGGCGCCTGGGCGGGCACCTCGGGCGTGCGGCCAGCAGGGGGCGCCTCGACGGGCACCTCGGGCGTGCGGCCAGCAGGGGGCGCCTCGGGCGTGCGGCCAGCAGCAGCAGGCGGGGCCGTAGCAGGCGCCTTGGGCAGAGCGGCGACGGCAGCTACAGTAGGGGTTGCCGTGGGCAGTGCGGCGGCAGCAGCAACAGGCAGGTCCGGGACAGGCACATCCGGAACATCGGGCCGGAAGACACTGCCCCTTTAAAGCGCCTTAGGGATCCGGGGAATCGCGTCTTTTACGGAGAATATTCTTCATTGACCTAGGCGCGCTGGCCGGTAATGGTAAGCCTCTAACGGAGGTGGCTTTTCCTCAACGTGAGGCTTACCGGCTTCAGCGGCATCTTCCCAGGCGGGAACTAGGGAGCAGGCTCCAACGAAGAGCGTTGGGGCTTCTTCTCCCTTTCTTCCACGCCTTTTCTTCTTGCGCCGACCGGTAGGTGGAGGCGGGGTTGCCTCCATGCAGGGGAGGGGCTGGAGCAGCTTCTCTCTTACGCGGTCGTCGATTAGTTGCAGAAGGGAGCTTGCTTCCGCCATTACGCGCTCCTCGGTGCGTGGGGTAACCTCTTGCAAGAGGTTCCAACTCTGTTCGGCGAGGGCGGATAAGTCAGGGTCCTCTTGGACCTCGGGCTGCTCTCGCCAACACGCAGTCTCATGCAGCAGGACGAGCCAGAGGTCCTCGCCCTGCTGCGGTGCGTCTATTGGGAGATCTGTCATCCTGTCACACTGTGCGAGCGGCGAGCAGGCAAGGGAAGCGAGAGCAGCCAGGCTGACGGAAAACGGGGTTTGTTAAAGTCAAACAGACAGGACTGGTACTCACACAAGGTATGGACGATGACAGATCTGGGGGAAACTAACCGAGACGTGGACTAAATACACAAGACAAGCTGAGTTTAACGAGCAACAGGTGAGAACAATCAGGCACAAACACGAGGTAACGAGGTGGGCGTGGCACACACGAGGATCGTACGGAGCTGGTCGTGACATTATAGGTGATTTCATGTTGGTCAAAGTTTCTACTTTTTAACAACTGTATATGGTTATCTTCTATATAAATCAATTCAGGTGAAACAAAAAAATGTACGTGTTCAGGGTTGCAAACTCTTTCAGACTCTCATGCAAGAAATCTAACAGCAAGTCTATATTATTCCATTCTGAACTTAAAATTAGCTGCATCAAAAACGTTAGGGCAGTTTGCAAACCCTACAGACTATTTGCAAGGTAATAAAACTTCTACATACATGTAAATGTGTATGCGGAACAGAGAACAGAAAGTCTCACTCCATGCAGCTGACCAAAGTTGGCAACCCTGCATTTTATTTGAAATGAGAAGTAAAATGCAGTTTTCGAGTGGCTTATCATTCCTTTGCTTTGTTACTCGGACAAATACAAAATGAATGAATAAACATTATATGTGTCTCTTTTTGTATCTTTTCTAAATAATAAGACCGCGTGCCCATACCCAAATGTAATAGCAATTAAAGCAATCTATTCTTTTAATCTTTGGAAATACTTAAATTAATAAGAATAAAAACGTATGACATAAACACGACTGTATTATGGGTTTTACAGCTTTTTTGGGGCTGCTGTGAGGATTACTGACTGTCGTCATTTCAGTGAAGGGACGAATCAAAATCACCCATATTTCGGGATGTCCCGGACAATTCGGGACGGTTGGCAACCCTAGTCTCATTGTTGTTTTGATGGGTTAGCGGTATGCTAATGCTATTGCCCATTAACAAAAACAAAAGGTATGATATGCTGAAGTATGTCGCTGCTGGTGTTTAAAAGGAGGTCACCAGTTCTATTGATGATAGGACCTTTCAGAAAGGACCTTTTCAGATCTCGGACCATAAAATAAGAAGGCTATTCACTTATAGCTCAGTAGTGGAATTAGTATTTTTTCCGCACCACGAATGCAACATTTTCCTTGGGTTTCACGTGTTTGCTGTTTGTGGGTCTATACGCAGTCTTTTTGGGCTACTTCTGATTGGTGAGCATGACTGGCACGCAAGAAGCACGGCACTTGTGATTGGTGAGCATGATTGTCACACAAGGAGCACGGCATGAATTTGTAAAACCATTGTCACAACAGTTTTAAACCCTGGGTGCTGTATAATTTATATCCTAAATTGCAGCCTTTGCGATTTGCTGATTGTGTTGTTTCAAATCGCGATTTTGATTTGAAATCGATAAATCATCCTGCGCTAATGGTTAGTTTTAGTAAAATTCATATTTAATATAACATTCATTCAACATTAATGTGACTTCAGATTTGCTCTACAGCGCTACCCCAGGTCTGGTGGAGTAATGCACAGTTGCCTGGCATGTTGGCTTTAAGGTCTTGGTCTTTCTCAGTCTCGCCCCCACCAAAGTCTTGGTCTTGACTTGCACTCTGCGCTTTAAGGTCTTGGTCTTGAATCAGACTCAGTTTTGCTGGTCTCATCCACATCACTAGTGATAACTATGAACATTCAGGACCGTGGATTGTCCAGCACAACTTTGTGTGTGTTGTGGTTTAGCTATGTTTGCAGGAAGTATGAACCAGGACATTAGACTGGGAGGGGAGCTGTGAGGAGAATATTTCTTTTGGTAAAATTTTTGCTGCCTTAGACTTGTATTTCAGTGTGATGTTATTTTACTCATGCCTTCCCATTCATTAGTGACAATCTCAGGTGATTGTAATGATCTTACTGTTACATCACAGTAAACGTGGACATTGTTTATTCTAGGGTTTAAGGATGATCCTCACGAGCTCACCCTCTCTTATTCCTTTAAAATCAGATTCCAGTGCTCTGACAGCTGTATAAAACTCATGATAAACTAACATGTGACCCTTGTGTACGGTGCTCTGGTGTGTTCTGGCTCCATACTCACTCATCTGCCTTTGCTCTCTAGAGAGAAATTATTTTTGAGTTAAGTCTAAAAAAACAACTGAATTTCTGCTTCTATATAATGATAATGATGAAATATATAAGATATTATTAGTTATTAGTCTAGCCATTTGTGACTCATTAAATATGAGTCATTCAGGGCTTTCCTTGTGATGATGATGTAATCAGCTGCATGTTCTGGTGTTTCCTTTGTTCCTCTGCAGAATCTGTGCCGGGTGCCAAAACCTGTGGGTGTCACTCTACTACTCCTGAATGTCCAGGAGGGGTATTGCACACCTGTTGCAGCACTAGCCCCCCAGTGAGCCAGCTGTGTGCCCCCTCCCCCACATGCTGCTCTGCCTGTCATCCCTGCTGCACCTCTGAAGTGCCCAGCAGTGGAGAGGGCCATGGCCCTGGGAGGCCGTCGAGTCACGAGAGGGGAAGCAGCGGAAGTCGGCAAGCGAGCCCCTCCCTGCACTCCCCCCAGCCGGCTTACTCTGACCCCGCTTTTCATGGGACGGGTCGTATTAGTGGTGGAGAGTCCATCACCTCATCTCCACGTCCAAACCAGCTGCCAACCTCGTTGTACCCCTATCCCCGGTCCCCCGGCCTGGCCAGTGACAGCATTCTCTCCACCAAGCGCAGCCTGACCCATGTTAACAAAATCCTCCGGGCCAAGAAGTTGCAGCGACAGGCGCGCACTGGCAACAACATGGTGAAGAAGCGGCGCCCGGGGCGCCCCAGGAAGCACCCCCTGCCTTACCACCCACCAGAGTCTGTGACCCCTCCACCTGGCCTTGGGGTGGCCGGGCAAGCCACAGACGACACTGTCTCAAATGTGATAGAGGCGGTGGTGCAGGGCCAGCGTGGCAAAGGTCAAAAGAGGAAACGTTTGGGAAGAGACAGAGACGAAGATGAGGGAGAGGGTGAGGAGCAGCAGGAGGATGAACCGCCTGAGCAAGAGGTGGACTCTGAGCAGAGGGGTGAATCGTCTGAGAAGAACTCTGCAGAAGGGTGGCTCCCCCAGGAGGAGGTGCAACACTTGCACAGGTGAGAGCCACCTCGGAGACTCCATTCTGACTCGCATCTTGCACATCACTTTACTGCTTTGTGCCCTTATGAAGGAAAACTGCACTGTTTTATCTACACTCACCTAAAGGATTATTAGGAACACCTGTTCAATTTCTCATTATTGCAATTATCTAATCAACCAATCACATGGCAGTTGTTTCAATGCATTTAGGGGTGTGGTCCTGGTCAAGACAATCTCCTGAACTCCAAACTGAATGTCAGAATGGGAAAGAAAGGTGATTTAAGCAATTTTG